AACGGTGAAGAAGTACCTGGACAAGATGGACATTGTTATGCGGAAGCGTCAGTCGAGGCCGGTCGTGTCGGAGCAGCAGAAGACCGGCAACCATAAAAACGTCCCCCAGCTGCGACCGATAGAAAATTTTTGGACGAACCTCAACCGGAGGATCTATTCCAATAGTTTCGTGGTCAAAACGGAAGAGCAGCTGATCGCCAAGGCTATGCAACTAAGGTTCCAGCCAGCTGCCCAGCAGAGCGTCGAAAGCATTTTTGTAGAAGGCTTAAGGGGGTGTTACCATTTTTTTATAAATTGGTTTTTTTGTACTTTATACTATCTAGTTTCAATCCCTCAAGCCGTTTTTCGATACGCGAAATTGGTATCCGATTTTACACGTATTGAAGCAAATGGTACAGTGGTGGTTTTAAGTACAGCCAAATCTTTAAACGCGTTTTTACCAGAACCACTTTTTTTTCGCTGGCCGATAAGTTTTCTCAAAAACTATGCAACATATCGACTTCAGCGTTTAAATTTTGGTTCTACATAGGGGAATTTACGTATTCTCGGCAAACTAAGCAGCGACTTTCTTTCTATAGCCTTTTTCTCTATGGAACGCACATATATGCAGTATTGGTTTGTTTACAATCTTTTGCTGCCAGCTGCTCTAACAATTTCAGTCGAAAGAATTGTCAAACACTGTTTTGAAACGCTTTTACAAAGCTCCAATCTTCTCTAGTGAGAGCGAGGATTGTCGGCAACCAGTTTTTCTTCGGCAACCATTCCATTTGAACTGCATGTAAATCTGCTGTTCTATTATCGGCAACTCGAAATCAGCTACAATTTGTAGTGCGTGTGTTGCATTTCAAGAAAACCCTGCTAGATTGCTTTTTCTCAGTGGTAAAAATATAGTCAAATTGAAGCTGAAAGCATAAAGAATCGTTTGCATGCATTCAGCGAAGTGTTTTCGTAAGAAAATCCAGTGAAAATAGTGTTTCAATTTCGGTTGCCGAAAATAGTCTGTCATGCCGAAGCCGTCATTTCCCCTATATAATTGATATCTTATTTTGTTAAGAAACATGATTTTAACATTGATGGAGTTAAAATTATTCATTTTACCCTAAATTTTTTTTATGAAAAACAGTTTGAAAACGGCCGGAAATTTGGTTACTCCCCCTTAATAAACGTAGGATTTAAGGAAATGTTGTTCCATTGAAGTATCTTTTGTAGTTAAGTTGTAGGACATTGTTTATCATGGCCCATATAGTATTTTTTTTTTCATGAATTTTTTTTAATTTTCTGAGATCAAATGACTAATGACTCTTCCCAAGTTACGAAAAGTTCCACATTCAACGATAAAACTCACTTTCAAGATCCATAAAGTTCAAATAAAGTTCCAGACAGAACTTTCAAGCTGCATAAAGTTTAAATAAAATTCCGACCGAACTTTCAAGTTGCATAAAGTTCAAATAAAGTTCCGACAGAACTTTCAAGCTCCATAAAGATCAAATAAAGTTCCGACAGTACTTTCTTCCCAAGCAACCAAAAGTTCCGTATTCAACGATAATACCCACTTTCAAGTTCCATAAAGTTCCTATGCGTACTCCAAGCCACATCCCTAAGCACTTCTGAGGAACTTCAGACAAGGCTGAAAACATGGCCAGCTCCGAACAAGTTCCCAGCGGAACTTCTTAGCAACTTTAAAGTATCTTAAAAGTTCCCTGCCGAACTTCTTAGCAACTTGAAAGTTTCTAAAAAGGTCCGTCATAGCCCACATGAAGCAATCCACACAAATCTTTATTAGTAACAAAATTTAATGTACGTAAATATGAAATGATCAGTGGCTCAACTAAATCATAATTCTTATACAGATGTGTTCAATATAATAGCAGCGCATGCCGATTTCCATACACAATGGTCAACTTTTTTTTTCTCTCCTTTATTTAACGTCGGTCTCTGTTCCACAATCTAGTGCCAATCACCAACGGACATCGATTGCTATCCATTGACGGCAATCGAATGTGCAGAAAGGCAGTTTCCACACCTGCGTAGGATATCGCACCCATTCAAACACACAGGGGCCGGGACCAGCGGAAGACGTGACCAGAGATTTTTATGCCTCAGAAAAATCCCACCGACCTCGGCTGGGATTGAACCCAGACCCATTGGGGTGTTAGAAAGCAGTCACACTTACCACTACACCACCGGCGCCGGTCTAATGGTCAACTTTGACATGATGTAACTTGGTTAACTTATGATCAATTGAGGTGAAACGTTCGCCACAGAACTACAAATATGTTCAGACACTAGGTAAAATATTTCAAAATAATAGCAGTTTTTGATTTGAATTTTTGTGTACTGCAAATATTTTAAACATATTTAACTATTATTTACATTTGTTAATTGAGTGGGGATTGTTACAATTTTCAGAAACATAAAATTGAAAATCTCAAAATTGAGCTGAAATGCAAGTTATTAATACTGCTATTATTTTGAACAATTTTACCTAGTGTCTCACTTTCCGGCAGGTGCTTCCAAAAATTTGGTAGTTTGTAATCGTAAAATTGAACATATTTGTAGTTCTGTGGTGACATTTCAGCCTAATTGATCTTAAGATTCTCTTTTGGATTCAATACTCTATCCAAACAACAAAAAAGTACAATTTCCTGGATTTGAACCCGTGTATTCGGCATGCGATCTACGAACGCTAATCACTGTGCCACAAGTGTGCCACAGGAAAACACCAATTTAAAATTCAACAAGGTGTTGTGTTTCGCATTCAAGTCAGTCAGCTGGCACTGAAAACTCCAACAAGCCGGGACAACAGCTCATTTAATATATCTCAGATGACGTAGCGGTTCGTGCTGGGGCTCTCACGCAGAAGGACTGGGTTTTATTTCTTCAAATAGCTCCAATTCTACTACTAATGCTTATACATCAATACACATTAATACCTACCTCTAGAAATAACTTTCATAAAAGTGCGAACTAAATATAGAATTAGTTTAGTGTAGAGGTCAAAAATCTATTTTAATTTATTTTCTAAAAGTTCCGTTCAAGTTCCGCCAGAAGCTGCTTAGAATGCTCTTCAATTGTGGTACCGGAACTTTCAAGTTCTTATAACGACTTAAAAATGAGGCTGCTTAGAATTCTAAAGACCACCTTCAACCAAGCTGCTTAAGCCACAAATAGCCTTTTATCAGAACTTTTGATTACTTGGGATGAGTCTCGAGGTTCTGACAGGAGTAACACCCCTCCATTGAAGAAATTCTTGGGCTGAACACACAATCTCGATTTATGAGAATCTACCACCACTACGTATCGTCAGATATGTGTCTTCCTTGTTACACTTCAGACCGTGCTCACTTCACCAATCGCAGTTCCTCAATTGAATATGATCTAACCATGAAACAAGCAACTCATGGGATGCCCGATCAACTTCAACTTATTATTATCCCGCGTATTTTTACTGAAAAGTACCAACACGTCAATTGCGTGAACAGATATTTTACAGACGAGTCTCGTCTCAGTGGTTCCACTGACTTCGGTATCTTCAATGAAAACTCTAGCGCCTTCCGCAAACTCCAGAAACCTTGTTCCGTTTTTGTTGCTGAGCTGGCAGCAATCAACTTCGCATTAGGGGATGATTTCCAACATGCCCGCAGACCATTACTTCATCTTCTCGGATAGTCTCAGTTCGATCGAGGCTATTCGGTCGATGAAACAATGTAGGAACTCATCTTATTTCCTTTCAAAGGTAAGGGAGCAGATGAGTGTGCTGGTCGAAAGATCATATGTGATTACCTTTGTATGGGTCCCCTCACATTGCTCAATCCCAGGCAATGAGAAGGCGTACTCTCTCGCAAAGGTGACAGGCAAATTTCACACGATGAATTTTACCATTTAGTGCGTCCGAGTTCTCTTTTAAGTTGGCAAAACGATTGGACAAGTAATTCTCTTGGGCGGTGGTTACATTCAATTATTGCTAATGTTTCTTCGAGAGCGTGGTTTAAAGGCTTGGACTTAAGTCGTGACTTCATTCGCGTGATGAGTAGACTTATGTCCAACCACTACTCGCTAGATGCTCATCTCAATAGAATAAACCTCGTGGACAGCAACATCTGTCGGTGTGGAAACGGTTACGATGACATCGATCACGCAGTTTGGCAATGAACGGATAATGACGCCGCCAGAGAGCGACTTTTGAATACCCTCGAGGCCCAAGGAAGACCACTCTATGTTCCTATCAAAGACGTGTTCGGAACTCGCGATATCTGCTATATGCAGTAGGTTTATCTGTTTCTTCAAATGTCTAGTATAAGAATTGAATTCCTTTGTCTTTTGTCTCTCTTTAATAGTTTTTGTTTGTCTTGTCCCCCCGTCTCGATGAGTCTCATCGTCGCCCACTGGTCACCAGACAACGAAACCTTACCCCCAAGCTCCTCCCCTGATCCCATCCTTCGACAATGTACCTCTCTAACTTCGGGTAAGCCGCGAGTATTCGGCCCAACTCCTACTAGACATAGAATTAAGTGAATTTTGTTACAAACAACGAACAATGAACTATCGGCTCCGTAAAGCTAATGCGATTGAGCCTTGCAAATAAACGAACTAGTTAAAAAAGAAGCAGTCAGCTCCAAGAGAAAAATAATTTAAACAAATCCAAAACAACAAAATTATGGCTATCGTCTATTCTGGCAATCTTCTTTATGACAATCGTACGTATGGCAACCCTCCGTATGGCTAACATATTTATGGTCACCCTTCCGCTTGACGGTGTATGCACAGCATAATGAATTGATACATTCCGATCCCGAATCAACCTTCAATCGGTTCAATGTATCGTGCCAGCCTACAGTCAAACGACGCTCATATAACGCGCACCTGCATTTGTGGCACACGTGCGGTAAGCCTTCCGAATTTGCCACATGTGTCCGGTGGAATCAATTTCAAACACGGATCCCAACCGACAGAGACCCCCATCATATTATCAAAGCTAGAAAGTTGCCCTCGCTGCTTACCTGTTTGCTTTTCCGCCGGTTTCAGGGTGTAGGACAGCATGTAGATCGCTTCGCTGCGACCGCGCATGTTGGTTGCATAGATGACAATTTTCAGCAATCGACCGGACTCCAACCCCCGGACGGTAAACATCGGCTGCCCGGATGACACGTTCGCTAGCAGCATGTGCGTCTGTTGGTCGTAGATCTCCATCACGAATACTTGCCGCTGACCACCGTCGAAGCCTGTGGGATGGGAGACGGGTTGAAGAGATGATGGGTGAAATTATTACATTTTGGGAGAGTTGCAATTGTGTGTGTGTGTGTGGGTAAGTGTGAGTGGGTTCGATAGGCCGGAACCGAATCGAACCGAACCGAACCGGTGCTGCGGTGGCGGAAAAAATGGGCTCATTTGATGGGCTCAATTTGTGGCTCGTAAATTGGGTTCCCAGCCGAGGGCTGGTGGTCGCTTATTTGACCTCAGGCCATAACAAATGGTACGATGGCCGGAAAATTGCTTGTCCGCGCCGCTTCGGTTGGCTTAGCGGGAGAGATAAATGCAATGGCAGTGAATTATTCCCATTTGTGTGGCGCTTTGAACTTTTGTTCCCTATTTGCGATATAAATTTGGGTTAGATTTTATTATTGAAAACGTCCGTTAATCCTAACACATAAGTTGAAATCGGTTGAAATATACACAGGCAAACTTTGCATTTTCCGTTGCCACCAGTCCATCCAAGCGAAACTTTTATCCCTTTCTCCAGCAAACAATGCGGCAGCCTGGAAAATGAAATCAACGTTCGCCTAATTGAACGAAACTGACCGCAACATATTCAATTTCAAACTCTGTCATTTACCGCCAGCAGAATTGCTCCACTGCAAAGTTCTGCGGGCTTTCCTCGATCCTGAGTCCTGAGAGTGGGCAAAGTGGAATGGAAAAACTTTTCCCACTGGGCCGACTTCCCCTCCCTAGACTATGGGCCGGCTGCGGTCAGAATTAGACAGCAAATATATTGAGCCAACAAGTTATCACTACAGTTTAGGCAGTAAATTAAACTTCCAACTTCGGCCGAGGGTCGTCGTCGTCGTCGTCGTCGTTGTCGTGGACGTCGGTGGCACTAAAAGCGTTGCTATCTTGGCACCAGCTCAGGTCGGCGCGTTCAATGGAGTCGGTGAGAATATTTCTCCAGGGCAGAATTTCGCACCGTCACACTTGAGACAGTTGCCGGCAGAGATAGAACCGAATGAACGACCACTTGAACCTTGGCGCGCTTCGGGTAAATTATGGCGGCACATCATTAAAGTGGTAAAGTTCTTGGCACTTTTCCTCGTTATTGCCGGGGTGCTATTATTTGTTTTAATGTGAAGTCACTTTCCTTTGGGCGGGTTTCACCACCACACCACACACACCAGTCCCGACACGGAGGCACGGGTATGGGATATAGGTAAAGCTCGTTCGTTAGCTTTGTCCCAGGGCCATGCGCTCGGATGCGGGATGCATACGAAGGAAGCGACTGTCTGCTGCTGTGGTTGAAGTGCATCCCAAGTGGCTCGTGGCAACTGTTCAGGGGTGGCACCACCGTAGATTGGCAAGTTTTAATTTTAAATGAGCATTATCAGTTTTGGTTTTGATACTGTAACAGTTTAGCACGTTTAGCTTTCTGGTCACATTGCCTCTACAAGAACTTTTCGCCTATCATTTTTTCCTTGATTTGTCGATGTTGTTTTGACGCCAGGGAGGCAGCTCCCACACATGGGCCCTACGCCTTGCACTTTGGTCAGAGAGCGTATAGGATGTCGTTGTGGCACTTTTCGAGTATGACAGAGTGATTGCAGTTAGATCAAAAGTGCTTAAAAAATGCAAGTACTTTCGCGTATTGCCTGAAGTTGCGATAGTGGAGATATGATAACATACAAGCAGACATAACACTCTCACATGTTACATGGCTTTTAACGGTAAATTCAAATGCTTCTTAGTTGGTAGTACCGCCACTTGTGACGGGCATATTCCATTGCCCATCGCAATGTATACGACAGATGGCGGTAGCGTTTACAATAAGAAATGTTCAATGAGTTATGTCTGTTTGAAAGTGTTATAATATCGAGGTAACATTAGGATAATATTAAAGCATTGAGAAATATAACGCAGCACTTTCAGAAATACTTCACTTCGCAACCGATGAACTATTCTGACCATTTGAATACCCAAGTAACCATATAGTCACAATATAGCTTATATATGCTTGCTTGAGTATGGTTAGTTGGGGAATCCGATGAAAATGTCACTTCTTAAAACTAATCCCTTTCGTATTTCTTTCATTCTCTTTTCGCACTTTGCATATAACACCATCTCATACTAAATAATCTCTACATTGATTCAATGATCGGATCGCTCACTCCGAGCACTCGGTGGACCAGCGACTTTACACGCGACCCTCCTACCAGATGACCATGGCCATGCAAGAAAATTTGTTTTCGTTGAAGGAAGTATCACAACACAGGTAATTGCTATTCGATATTTGTGCAGACAGTGACAGATGGAAACGGCGCCGGTGGTGTAGTGGTAAGCGTGATTACCTCTCACCCCAACAGGCCTGGGTTCAATCCCAGTCAGCGCCGCCGGGATGTTCTGAGGCATAACATCTCTGATCACGCCTTCCTTCGGATGGGAAGTAAAGCCGTTGGTCCCCGGTTCATGAGTTGATGGGTCGATAGGTAGGGTCCAGATGTGGGAGCTGCCTTCCTGGCACGTCGGTAGCATTGGTGCTCAGCACGGAAAACAAGATCGACGGAAAAAACAAACCAAAGGAAAACAAAAAAAAAGTGACAGATGGTGGTCATGAAGATCCAGTGGAGGTGCCGGGTCGAGGTGTTATATCCTGGACAAACGGTAAGTTTCAAATTTATTGTTGTCGTCGTCGTAGTCGCCGTTGGGACCTTTTAATCACAAAATAAATCATCTGTTATTTGTCATTTATTATAATAACAATATTCGTAAACTATTTTGGAGGTATTATTTACGGTATGTTACTAGGGGAAACGCTCCTATAGTTGCGGTACGTTAGAAGCGTTAGATTCCTATAGTTGTGCATGGAGATTCAATACACAACTATAGGAACCTAACGCTTCTAACGTACCGCAACTATAGGAGCGTTTACCCTACTTATTTCAGGCTCGTCAATACCATATTTAGGATCCTAATTATGTTTGTTATTTAGAAGGTATTTCAATACCAATCCAATAGCTGTTTTTTTTTTCCTTTTTTTTCCGTCGATCTTGTTTTCCGTGCTGGGCACCAATGCTACCGACGCTAGGAAGGCAGCTCCCACACCTGGACCCTACCTATCGACCCATCAACTCATGAACCGGGAACCAACGGCCTTACTTCCCTCTTCCGAAGGAAGGCGTGATCAGAGATGTTATGCCTCAGAACCGACTAGGATTGAACCCAGATCAGCTGACCAATAGCAAAAAAGGCTTTATAACTCAAGCATATCAATATAAGGTATAATACTTAATAAATGTATTCATATGTTAACGGTTAGTGGGGGTGTCCTGATGCTCGAAATTTTCATACTCGGATTTCCCAGTATAAAATATTGCAAAAACCTTCATTTGTAGGCTGATGAGCTTGCCAAACCTTTAAATCGATTTATCTCCTTAAATATGGCTCTAATCGCGAAAAGAGGGGTGTCCAGATGCTCGAAATTTTTATACCCGGATTTCCCAGTATAAAATATTGCAAAAACCTTTATTTGTCGGCTGGTGGGCTGGCCAAACCTTTAAATCGATTTATCTCCTTAAATATGGCTCTAATCGCGAAAAGAGGGGTGTCCAGATGCTCGAAATTTTCATACTCGAATTTCCCAGTATAAAATATTGCAAAAACCTTTATTTGTCGGCTGGTGGGCTGGCCAAACCTTTAAATCGATTTATCTCCTTAAATATGACTCTAATCGCGAAAAGAGGGGTGTCCAGATGCTCGAAATTTTCATACTCGAATTTCCCAGTATAAAATATTGCAAAAACCTTTATTTGTCGGCTGGTGGGCTGGCCAAACCTTTAAATCGATTTATTTCCTTAAATATGGCTCTAATCGCGAAAAGAGGGGTGTCCAGATGCTCGAAATTTTCATACTCGAATTTCCCAGTATAAAATATTGCAAAAACCTTTATTTGTCGGCTGGTGGGCCGGCCAAACCTTTAAATCGATTTATTTCCTTAAATATGGCTCTAATCGCGAAAAGAGGGGTGTCCAGATGCTCGAAATTTTCATACTCGGATTTCCCAGTATAAAATATTGCAAAAACCTTCATTTGTAGGCTGATGAGCTTGCCAAACCTTTAAATCGATTTATCTCCTTAAATATGGCTCTAATCGCGAAAACAAGGGTGTCCAGTTGCTCGAAATTTTTATACTCAAATTTCCCAGTATAAAATATTGCAAAAACCTTTATTTGTCGGCTGGTGGGCCGGCCAATACTTTAAATCAATTTATTTCCTTAAATATGGCTCTAATCGCGAAAAGAGGGGTGTCCAGATGCTCGAAATTTTTATACACGGATTTCCCAGTATAAAATATTGCAAAAACCTTTATTTGTCGGCTGGTGGGCCGGCCAAACCTTTAAATCAATTTATCTCCTTAAATATGGCTCTAATCGCGAAAAGAGGGGTGTCCAGATGCTCGAAATTTTCATACTCGAATTTCCCAGTATAAAATATTGCAAAAACCTTTATTTGTCGGCTGGTGGGCTGGCCAAACCTTTAAATCAATTTATCTCCTTAAATATGGCTCTAATCGCGAAAAGAGGGGTGTCCAGATGCTCGAAATTTTCATACTCGAATTTCCCAGTATAAAATATTGCAAAAACCTTTATTTGTCGGCTGGTGGGCTGGCCAAACCTTTAAATCGATTTATTTCCTTAAATATGGCTCTAATCGCGAAAAGAGGGGTGTCCAGATGCTCGAAATTTTCATATTCGAATTTCCCAGTATAAAATATTGCAAAAACCTTTATTTGTCGGCTGGTGGGCCGGCCAAACCTTTAAATCGATTTATTTCCTTAAATATGGCTCTAATCGCGAAAAGAGGGGTGTCCAGATGCTCGAAATTTTTATACCCGGATTTCCCAGTATAAAATATTGCAAAAACCTTTATTTGTCGGCTGGTGGGCCGGCCAAACCTTTAAATCGATTTATCTCCTTAAATATGGCTCTAATCGCGAAAAGAGGGGTGTCCAGATGCTCGA